AATTGCACAAGGGCCACTAAAGTAGTAACCTAAGGCAGGCCATACATTATGCAATTTTATTTTCTTTCAACCACTGTTCGAAGGAAAGAAAAATTGCTCAATTCCCCCATCAACACAGTCCGTGTTGATGGGGCAATCCCTCCCGCTGCGGGAGGTCTGCCAGCCATCAGAATGCAGTAATTACAGCTTGTGGCTATAGCCACCAGCACTAATCGAGCAAAATAAAAAACAAAAACAAACAAAAACAGCTAAAGATAAACTTCAGTACAACCAGTCTGCCCATAGATGGATCAAGTCTTGACCGGTTCCTGCTAAATTTCAATCCATCCATTGTCAGCTTAAGATTTCACAAAGAATTATACAATGCATTTTATGTTTACCTGTGAGGACAGACATATAAGAATGGTCAATGCCAATTTGTTATTAAGTTCAGGCTTCAGGGTGGTAATCTGAATCCTGGCTTTACTACGAGAAGGCTTGGCTTGCATTCTCCACTCTAATTCATCCCAATGGTGTACTATCGGGTTGAGGTCAGGACTCTGTGCAGGCCAGTCACGTTCCTCCACCCCAAACTCGCTCATCCATGTCTTTATGAACCTTGCTTTATGCACAGTCATGTTGGGACAGGAAGGGGCCATCCCCAAACTGTTCCCACAAAGTTGGGAGCATGAAATGTCTTAGGTATGCTGCCGCCTTAAGAGTTCCCTTCACTGGAACTAAGGGGCCAAGCCCAACCCCTGAGATAACCCCACACCATAATCCCACCTCCACCAAACTTTACACTTGGCACAATGCAGTCAGGCAAGTACCGTTCGCCTGGAAACGGCAAACCCAGACATATCCATCGGATAGCCAGACAGGGAAGTGTGATTCGTCACTCCAGAGAACACGTCTCCACTGCCCTAGAGCCCAGTGGCAGCGTGCTTTACAACACTGCATCCATCGCCTTGCTTGCCCTTGGTGATGTAAAGTTGGAAGCAGCTGCTCGGCCATGGAAATCCATTCCACAAAGCTCTCTACGCACTGTTGTTGTACTAATCTGAAAGCTATATGAAAATTGGAGATCTTTAGCTATTGACTGCAGAAAGTTGGCGAGTTCTGCGCACTTTGCGTTTCAGCATGCACTGACCCCGCCGCTCTGTCATTTTATGTGGCCTACAAACTTCGTGGCTGAGTTGCTATTGTTCCCAGTTGCTCCCACTTTTTGTTATAACAACACTAGCAGTTGACTGTGTAATATTTAGTAGCAAGCAAATTGCATGGATGGACATATTGCACAGGTGGCAACCTATCACCACACTCAAATTCACTGAGCTTCTGAGAGTGACTCATTCTGCCACAGATATTTGTAGAAGCAGTCTGCATGCCTAGGTGCTTGATTTGATACACCTGTGGCCATGGAGGTGATTGGAACACCTGAATCCAATGATTTGGAGGGGTGTCTCTCCAAATAGTAGATTACAGTAGTTAGGTACCAGAGCAGAGACAAGTAATATATACCAAAACCCTTGTGACCTGCTTTGATAAAAGTACTAAGTTCTGTGAATCGCTTACATCATGCACACTCATAAAACAGTGTTTTATAATAACCAAAAAGTGCCACGCAAGTAATAATTGCTTATATACAATGGGTAAGAAAACTGCTCTTAGCTCTAGGCCAAGTATGCTTCTCTTGAACAGGAATGTTGGAAAATTTTCATTTGATCAGAGCACACAGCCAATTGGCTGCAGCACTGATAAGTATATACGGACAGCCTTCTGCCCAACTGAAAAAAAAATATTGACCCATGTATGGCCAGCTTAAGAGTCTCTTCAAATAATTAATTGCAATTTTCTTATTTAGAGGTGTTCTTAAATGACAACTGAACTTGGTTTGAAAATCAATATTGTAATGAGCCTAACACACATATTAAATCAGCACTAAGCTATATCTATTTTCCACATAATGCAATATTTTGCCATGGTCTTCCTAACTTAATCAGAAGTCACTCATGCAGATAGCAGAGGAATGAGAGCAGACAGACATCACACTAGGTGCTTCGGATTGAAGCAAGTACATACTATATCAGGATATGCTTTGCTCATTTTTAATTTCGAGAGTTTCACAACCACTTTAATTGAATAAAAATTTTGATTTCCTGAATTCATGAACTCTGTCCAGATATTACAGGATACATCTCCTGACATCTACAGTGTAACATTTTTCAAGATTTGAATCTTGAGGGGGGGAAAGCACAAGGAAAGGAACACCGCTTGCTCCTTATGAAATTCAGAAACAACCTTTGGGAGGAAGGATGGATGAAACCAGAATACCGCACTGCTTCCAAAATATTCATATAAACAATGCCTATACTTACAGCAGATGTAACAGCTATCAGCAAATCGGTTTTAAGTGCCACTTTAAGCAAAGATTTCCAAAAAGTTTGAACTGGAGATTTTGTTAGAGCGTTGAAAACTACATTAAAAAAATACAAGTATAGCCAAAGATTTTTTGGCTATACTATTGCTATGGATCACAGGACTGCAACTAGTTCTCCACTCCTGTGACCTGTTTCCCATTGTCAGCTAATATCACAGACCCGGTCCAGGATCTGAAAAGATCTGCCCAGAAGCCTGGACCTGTAGCTGCCTCAGCTTCTCAGTGATCCGCCGAGTGCCTGAGTCAGCTGCTCCCGCCCTACCACAGCCTAGTGCTCAGAGTAGAGAGCCAGTGACTAACAGTCACCAGCTCTCTATAGGCTGAGGACCAAGACCTTAGCGATCAGCGGTGTCAGTATTCGAAGGTAGCAGGGGACACCTGCAGCTGGGATCAGTGCTGCAGACTCCTGAGTATAATTTTTTTTTTTTTCTATTATAACATTCATCTCTTAAGATCTCAAGTTCTAATGTGTCTTTTGTTTATTAAAGCCTTACTATTCACTGCCTTTAAAGAGCATTTAATTCAGATTCAAAGCTAATGGTCTGTCAAAATAAGTGCCCAAGGCAGCCACCTGTACTTATGGGTGTAAAATTAAACACATTAAATCTAATCCTGATTGAAAAAAATTTAAGATAATCTAACATCATTCTGGTGAATGAACCATTAAACATTTTTAAATAAAATAGCAAAAGGTGACAGGTCTCCTGCTATAAAAAAAAAAAAAAAAAAAAAAAAAAAAAAACACATTCGAGAAATCTTTCCTAGTCAGTAACCATCTCTTAAATTCCACACCTTTAGCTGAACAGTCTAAATCGGAGGATGAAATACCCCCTTCCTGACGTAGAAGATCCTTCTTCTGACGGAATGGACAGGGTGGATCTATGGAAAGGTTCTGGGTCGTCAAACAAGCCATTTCGGGCCAAGCAAAGCTACCAGGATGATCCTTCCTTATTCTATTGCCATTTTTTTTGTTTGTTTTAAGACCTTTTGGAATGAATGTAAGGAGTGGGGAATGCAATTTGACTGAATGGGTTAAAGACCACTTCCCCCTGTCAGTCTAGCTGAACACAGAGGAAAGGCATGTACAGCCATACCCACCCCTCCTCTGTGAAGAATGAAAACCGGTAACAAGGATTTCCTTACTTCTAGCTTCAGTTTGTGGTTTACAAGCCGTTAACCAGCTTGTAAAGCATCTGACCAAACCAATCTTGCTTTCAAGGCAGAGGAGAGTTCGAATGTCTAATTCACCCCCGTCATTCACTGCCCATGCCATCACAAGGGATGTTGTTTATCTCTTTTGATAGCAATAAAGTTGAGCATAGCAGAAAAAAAGTAAATAAAATAATGAAAAAGTGCACCTGTCCAACTGTGCTCATGTGCAAATGTGAATACATACATAGGTCTTGCACGCCAAACTGTGATTTCACCACACATTTGAGGCATCGTAATGAATCTCAGAGTGAGAGCAATATATCCAGTGCCAGACTTCCAGTTAACTATAAACTGGTTACCTGTAAAGGTTTTTTAAACCGTTGCCAATGGATAATTTAATGTACCGAAGATTGTTGCCATTCCATGTGTGTACACAATATTAAAGTATGACCTGTTAGGTATCCATTTACTCAGCGTAACATTTTTTATATTGCACCAAAAATGGGTATTATATTATGTTTGTGTGCACTAACATTCATTAAAGTGTATTTTGTTCCTGAAAAACTGCATTTTAGAAATAGATGCACAAATATCCTGCAACATAAAAATTGCAGCAACCACCATTTAGTTATAGATTGGAGAAGTTGCCATTTGTTCATACTGTTGATATACTGGTGAGGGGATGCACCGGACACCTTGGCTGCTATTGTGCTGAGTGTCCAGTGCGCCCCTGTGCCTTCAAGCAGGGGTGGGCTCCCCACAGGTTTACCTGCCCAAGGTCTATCCATTATTATACATGTGCTTCTACTATGGAGGCTCTCAAAATTTATAGAGTTAGGAACTGCAGACTACTGAGCTGCTGTGAAGAGGCTCTGCAGCTTACGCATGTATTTGCAAATGTGTGCTAACTAAACCCCTGTTTTTTAATGTGAACTGTTAGACAGGACAATTCGGTTAGTTTGCAAGCTGGATGGTAAGTTCAGCTGGGGATTTTTCAGTTTCTTCTGTTTTTTCACATACGTTACCCTTCCATGTGCTCCTTGCTGCAAAGGCTAGTTATAGATTGGGGCAGTTGCCATTTGTTTGTACGGTTTTTATCTGCAGGGCCGCTACTTTAAAAAGTATATAATATTTGGGGTTCTAAGAAATTTTCTAGCAAGAAAAAAAAAAAAAAAAAAAAAAATGCAGATTTTAACATGTATGTGAGAAATGTAGGAATGGGCCCAGGTGGCAAGTGGTTAAACTTAAACATTTATAAATTTGGTACTAATTAAAGTATAGGTGAACTGTAAACTCTATCATCATTGGTCATGTTAGGCTACGCTTTGAATGTGATCAGCACACAATCAGCTCTGCAGTGTAACATGGTTTTCATACAGTTAAGCTTCTTCTGTCTTGTGTAACAAAACTCAGCTCTGAAAGTACTCACCAAATTGTAGATGCTCAGAAGCAGAGCTTCGATGCACTAATCTGACTAGTGAAAATGAAAGTCAACTAAAAAGGAAAAAAAAAAAAAAAAAAAAAAAAAAAAACCCTTTTATAGCCCATTTCCATCTACAGTATGTACATGCAATACTTCTGGGCCGCTGTTACATTTAAAATGTCACAGCACGCACTTTCATTTTTTAACAACACCTCTCCTCTGTGGTTTACTTTTAAATTCTATGGACTACGTATCCCATGGTACATTGCAGCTTTAATGACTCCATCTCCTTAAACGCCTTCTCTCAGCACCTTTGTACTTCAGAAGGCAGAATCTGTTATATACCCAACACAGCAATGCATGCTCACAGGGCATAGTAAATACGTGTCACAGAATTCAGGGAAACAAATGTGTGAGATTCTTCACAAAGTAAGTTTACTAAACTACACAGAGTAAAAAGGAGTAGGCTGGAAATTAAAATACAACATGGAAATTAATATCATGACTTGAAATGTTGGGAGAATGAGGAATAAGGTAGGTATTTGACCATATTCCTTTTCCCCAAGCTGAATGAGCGTTTAAAAACAGGGGTGTCCTTTAAAAATCAACATTTTTAAATTTGATTTTATGTTGATTTTTTTTTGTAAAAATGCGTTTACACTTAGTGAACACATGCAGCAAAGAAACATTTGACAGTGTCTTTTACTGGACTTTTAGAAGTGTTATTTTCCCAAAGAAAAATATCCTACTCTTCACAATCATGCCTTATTCATGTCATCAGTTTTCAGGGACATCTATATTTGTGATCAACTATCTTTTAGGATGAAGCACCTGAAGGGCAAAATTAGAACCAAAATATCTCATGAGCACCTTGAGAATTGCTAGTACATCTAATCGAACCAGATATTGATGCATTAAGTTTATGAAAAACAGTGTCAAATGTGACACTAGTTTTATGTTGCCGTCTTTTACTTTTATTATTAAAAAAATTACAAAAAAGAAAAAAAAAAAAAAAATTAAGTTTTGATACTCAGATATGTACAATTATCTATATAAGTAATGGTTAACTTGTGATCTGCCAGACTTTTTCTGCTCATCAGCTATCTTATTGTTAGTGTATTTTATATGTGGACAATTCCTCTTCTTCCAATATGACCAAGGAAAGTGAAAAAATTGGACACCCCTGATTTAAACCATGCAGTGTGGAAGGACCCCACTACATGGTTGCGTTTATTGGAGATGTACAGTGGTGCAGACAAACAGAGGTACCTTGGAATGGAGATTTTAACTTCACTTAAAGCTATGTTAGTAAATAAAAGAGTAGCTGAAGGGCTGAAATAACTAACTTTTCTGGAGAGAAAGCGGTTTCAGGTATGGTTCATTGCTGCTCATATACCCACAAAGAATCTAGCCTTTGGCCATGTGACAACTGTTAGAAAATCTAATTTTTTTCGAACAAAATTCTACCTGTGTATGGCAAACTTTAGATTTCTCCACACTGTCCCGAATATGAGAATATAAGTGGGACAGCCAAGGGATCTGTTCTCCATATAAATTTTTTCTTTTCCCTAACAAACCCAATAGGGTGATGTTCTGTGGCCATTTTAGATACAAAACATGGTTACTGGTGTTAGATCCAAAATGTGATTATCCAGCTATATTTTATTTATTTCAGGTACTTATATAGCGCCATCAATTTATGCAGCGCTTTACATATAAATTGTACATTCACATCAGTCCCTAACCCTCAAGGGGCGTACAATCTAAGGTCCCTAACTTACATTCACATATTAGGGCCAATTTAGACAGGAACCAATTCACCTCCCAGCATGTGGAATGTAGGAGGAAACCGGAGTACCCGGAGGAAACCCACCAGATCGATTCTGCATCCACCTAGGCGAGCATCGATTGTTTTATTCATTTTTTTTTTTTCTTTTAATCTCACATCTCTTAAAAATTTTCAATAGACCAGTAAACACATCATTCAGCCAAGAGTAGTAATTGTTCCATGGTGAAAAGTGCTACAGACTCAATTATATCAAGTTTGCAACGCAGGTTTTTCCACAAAACCCGTTTGTTCCTGATGCATGTAAATTCTCAATAAAAGCTGGCTGGGTGGGTTGCTAAGCTGCAGTCGAGATAAAGTACTGCTTCCACCTACACTATATTCAAGAAAACAAACATTTCATGAATCACCACAATTTCCTTCTTCTAATTGATGCATTAAACTTTGCGGTTTTACGTAAAACCATACTTAGAGCTATCCAGCTTTTGGCTTGTTACATGACCAGTACAGTTCAGAGAACATTCATATTCACTGCATCCATTCCAAGCTCAGGTTGGGGGCAACTGAGAAGGGCATTTAATGCACTTTGTTAGTGGCTATTGTGCTTATTTCTCCCTTCTTTAAAAAGATCAGTTCAATGTTACAGTTAAAAGCAACTATTTCAAAGGGGCCATAAAAATCCTTATTACATGGACGCAGGATGTCGCTATCACTCGAGTGACCCACATGTGCAATCTGTTGCAGTGTTCACGTAGCAAATGTACTGAAGTTCAATAAAGGGCAATGTCACATTAGCGATCTTGTCACTGATGACAACGTGCCAGCAATTGAACTGCTCCTACTGAACCGCTTCCTCAATGGGCGAAAAAAAATCTCTCTCACCTATGAAGAAGCAATAACCCAGCGATTTAGCTAGCAACACCCTAGAATCAGGTGACTGCTCTTTTGAGATGTCAACGCTGGAGACAGCTCACATCTGGCTGATCTGAAAAAATAAATAAACTTTTTTACAACTAAACTTTGAGTTTTCTTTTGTGTAATTCAGAGAGAAGTCTTGTAAATTCACGTGTAAGCAAAGCCTAATTTTAACTATTCTTAACCCCTTCACGCCTAAGGGTAAAACAAATCTTAACGCCTAAGCACAATCTTGCAAATTTGACAAGTGTTAGTAATTGCGATGATATGTACGGTTTTTTACTTTGTACATCCAGATGGATTATACCTTGTTTTCTTCAGAAACAATAGTGCGCATTTTGTTTTGTTTTTTTTACCTAAAACACACTGACATTAACTGACACCGATACCAATTTAAAAAAAAAAAAAAAACTTGGCACTGAACTAGATCAAACCTTGATCTAGGTATTTTTTAATATTTATTTATTTTTTATTTTTAACAAACAGGTTTTTTTTCCCCTCTATTCAATGAGAGGGAGAGATGCAATGTATCTCTCTCCTCCATTCATAGAGACAAAAAAATAAGGGGGGCCAATTAGAGGCTATCACAGCGATCATGTGACCTGGAATCAAGAGTCTCAGGTCCCGATTGTTTAGAACAGGACCGGGGCCCTCAGTGACACCCCAGTGTTTGTGCTGGGAGCACACTGTGCAGCGCAAGTATGCAGGCCCCATGGAAAAAAGCCCAGTTCTGTGAGGCCACATATTTGTGTTACATAGGTGTGAAGGGTTAAAAATGTTTCCTCCCTCTCTCCCGTTACTGATCCTGCCTACAAAATCTGCATACTTAACTTTTTTTTTTGGTCCAGTCACATGATTCCACAGTTCTGGCTCCCATGTCAGTGAGCAGGTGCTACAGGGGAGAGAAGGGACAATGGCTGGCCTTTGGGAGCCTATGGGTGACAAAACAGCTTCTGGAATGCACAACCATTGTTGAGCATTCCCTTATTCAAGGAAGCCGAAGCCAGAGCTGCAGGATCACGAGATCAGACTGGACTGCTTTAAAAAAAAATAGGTAAGTATACATATATTTTTATACAGACTGAGCAGAACAGGTAGGAGAAGGGAGGGAACATCTTTAAAAAATAAATAAATTATATATACATACATATATATATATATATATATATATTTATATATTTAGGGCTTTAGTCTTTTGTCAGCAAGTTAAGGCACCTCCTGTGAAGGCCTTGCAGACAAACATGAAGTTGATAATTGTTCTCTGAGACAATACAATTTTAATGCGTCAGGACAAAACAGCTATCCCGGAGATGTAAAGCTGGCCACACACAGCTTAACTTTTGCCCGATTCCTGGGTATTGGCCAAAATCTGAGATGTGGGTGGCCTTGCCAATTCCACCCAATTCCACAATCAATTAGAATGTCAGAAAGAATGCAGAACAGCCAATCAGTTGTGGTCACTGTTTGGGTATTCTAACAGTCATGAGTGACTGCTGTCAAGATACAATAGTTAGCAGTAGAAGATTTGTCAATCCACGCTGTTTAGCATGTATATGGCCAGCTTAAGGATGCATTCATTTAACATATCTATACTGGAGATTGCACGAAAGTGCAAATGCCTATTTGTGACTGGTGCTCTTTAAAATTCAATTTCTGGGCTAGAGACAGGCTTAAAGTGAAGCTTTATTCTCTCAGTCAAGATTGACTATTTTTAATCCTTATGCTGCTACCAATTAGTAAATAGATAAGAAGGTATACTATATTTACTTGGTTTTAAAAACTTGTTTTCCCATTTCTTCAGCTACTTCCTGGTTTCCTAGGCAAATGATGTCATACATCCCAGAGGTCTTTAGGAGGGGAGGAGGGGTTTTCTCAGCTAAGCACACCCTCATGTGTGCCTGAGCTAAAGGCAGATGGATTCCATGGTGTAAACCCTATATGAATCATCTGCACTCAAGTTGACCACACCCAAAAATGCTAGGGAGTTCTTTTTCAAAGTGATTTCTCAGCAAAATAAAGCATGAAGAAATGGTGGGTGGAGGGGTTTTCTTTGAAAATTTGTGGTGCTCAGATGCAGTGTAGTTCCGCTTTAAATTCTGACTGTAAAATGTGGCACCACTCTCTGCAGCATTCTCCTGCAAGTCCAAGATGAGGGTAGAATTTTGATACCCTAGCGCCATTCAACCTGTTGGAAGGACCAGAGCTGGATAGCTAAGTAGGCGGGATAGCACTGGAGAGGAGGTGACTACTGTGCTCCTGGGGGCTACATCATTGTTTTTTTTTTGCACAAGCTGGGACTTTAGCTTTAGGATACAAATCTTTATGTTAGATAAAGCACACATTTCATTTGTACACAGC